AACCCCCCCCCCCCCAGTCCCCCCCGGCCACCGTTTTTTTTATATTCCCTCGTTTGTCCATTTATTTGCCGGGTTTTGAGTATAGTTTTAACTATATTTCCGCGGTTGGTTTTGAATATTTTTCGGCACATTTGGGAGGTTTTAAGAATCCTTCGATCAAGGGGGAAGGATTCAACGGGGTGGTTCGATGGTGTTGGCCTCTGTTCTGCAGTGGACGTGACCATCGACGTGGCGACCTAATTGCCCGAAAAAACAACACAACTAACACAGCTGTGCATGGTTGTGTCCCCTCTGTTGGCTTGGTACGAACTAATGCTTACACAAATTGAACCACAAGCTGAGGGACACCAGGAAGGCGAAGGATCAGGTCAGTGATCCGAATAAATAGTGTTACGGCACCGCGGTGCGTTAGTTCAACGGTGCCAACGACAAGCCGCGGACGGCTTTTCTCGAGTTGCTTCGTTTGTTCTGTGGGTCCTTGTCTTTTATATATCGGCCAGTCAATTAAGACGATGTTGTTCTCGTGTGCGCGGCTCTCCTCTCTCCTGCCCCTGTGAGTGTTGACACTGTCTCTTCCACTTGAAGAGACGCACGTTCAAGGAGCCGGGCGCCAAAAGAAGGGTCAGTGGGGGGGGTCTTATGCAGTCCGACTGCAGAACGACGAGCAAGAAGAAGACACATGAGGTATTTGTGTGTGCGTGTGTGTTCGTGTGTGCGGCATGTAGTGCGTCCCGGCTCTCCTCCTACAAGCAAGAAGCAGGGCACAGCCTGACATCTGTTGTGCCCGCGCACAGCCGGAGAGTTGGATTCGTTCGTCTTTTGCAGGTCAGGCCCTTCGTTGCGTCGGGTGGTGGGTGGATCACGAGATGGTGGGCTCTGACATGGAAGCTGTTCCCATGAGTGAGGAGCCGTCTCCCATGGCCTGTCAAACGGCGTGTGAGACAACCACAGCTTGCAAGGCATTCACCTTTTCGGCCGACAAGAAGTGCTTCTTGCAGAAGGACGGGATGCCGACCGAGTACTTGATCAGTAAGGGGTCCGTCAGTGGCCCCAAGACCTGCGGCACCAAAGTCAATCCCGCGCAGCTTAAGACACACGGTATGCGGCGACGGCTCCTACCACCGACAATGGTGGAATGGTGGGAGGGCGTGATGGCCTCTCTGCCTGTCTGTGTGAGTGTGCAGGTCCGGCTGATGTACTGGGCGGTTTTGTCCACGTGCCCCTGGAAGGGCAAGGCAAAGGCGATGGGTTCATGAATGTGTCCTCATCCAGAGCCCCCATTGATATCAACTCCGGCAAGCCTCTGAGCCTGAAGCTGTCGCCGGCTGTGACGAGCGACTTCACCTTCGGTCGGTAAAGCCCCTTGTGCGGTCGACGCGTGGGACTGTCTGTCTGTCTGTGTTGATTGCTGCCGTGTCTATTGCACTGGTCAGTTTCGGTCCTGACGGACAACTCGAGGCCTGAGGCTCTGAAGGGCCACGTGCGCTACACCTTGCTGGAGTATGACAGGAAGAAGAAGATGACTGCGGCCTTCTCTGTCGACTCGTCGGATACCAAGCCCAAGACATTGAAGGAGGGCCCCGTGTCGCTCGAGTTCGACGCGCCCTCCCCCTGGGCCATGACAGACAGCCGAGAGAAGACACTGGCGGGCAACGGCAAGTGCCAAGGCCAACTTGAGTGCCATCAATTTGCCACGAGCCTAAGGCAGTACAAGGGCAACAAGGAAAAAGGGGACAAGGGACCCTCCGATTGGGTGGGTCAGCACAAGCGACCTATCCACTCGCAGACAGACAGGGGCAACCCGCTTTGTTGTTTGTGTTGCGTGGTGGCGGCGTCTCTGTCTGCTGGTGACGTCTTTCTGTCTTTGGCTGATAGGGAAGGACGTCAGCTCATTTCGACGGAAGAGTTTGCGCCCAGTTGTACGTCAGCGGGACTTCGCAGGGGGCGCCCATTCTGATGTATGTCGATGTCAACCCCATGAGCGATGCGCTCGTCGAGGAACTCAAGGGCGTCAAGAAGAATGCCAACCCGGATGGGAAGGAGAGACTGCATTTCGGCCCGGATGACGGAATATGCGAGCCGGATGAGTTTGTGGGGGGCCGTGCGAGACTGTACTCAGCTGGGTCAGTCAGACCTCAGCCGGGATGAGTGCGCTAAGGTGAGAAAGGCATCCAGCGACCTGCGCCAGTCAGTAGGCAGAAATATGTCACTGCATGCAGGGCAATTCCTGCTGCTTCTGGGAGGGCGACTGCTTCTATCCTGGTATCAATGAAACGAATAGCACGAGTCGGTGACCGATGTGTGTGTGACGCATACCGTGTCTCTTCTAGAGTGTGAGGAGGGACAGGAACTCTCCGGTGTGTGCTCCTCATGGGTAGGCAGGCACGCATTCACTCACGTGGTGTGAAGATTAATGTGATGTACGCAGGTGACAGCCCAGGGAACAGGAACGAGAACTATCACCTGCCCCAGTGGCACGACCGACCCGATACCTGTCACCACCGGTGAGAACGTGTGAGTCGAACATTCGGCTCACAACGACGTGACGCCTGGATGCATATGTGCTCATTTTTGCACAGCGTTCGAGGCTATATCCCGTGCTTCAACCCTTCTCTCGATGCTCAAATCTATAGAATCGTTGTTACCTCGGCGGGTCAAGTGACCATAAAGACGAGCGGTGACGACACAACAAGACGTGAGAATGACCCAGTTATAGCGCTGTTGAACGGTAAGATACTTAACTCACTTAAGGCGGGTAAAATGCTTATTTGAAATGCGTGTTTCTTTACAGATTGCTGCGGTTTGAGCAATGCCGCCAAGTTAACAACGATCGAGACCCCCCCGGTGATTTGAACGCCCAGGTCTCGACAGTTCTGACGGAGGGCATTTACTTCGTGGCCGTGACCAACTTCAATGCATTTCCCGATGTCCTCGAAAACGAGCTGGAGGTCACGGTAAGTGGAGGATCAGGGGATCAGTCGCATGTGTCGTCCATCCTGTGTATGCAGTGTTGATGAGGACGCCTGGAGGATGTGATGTGACAATGATAGCCATCCGAAGGTTTCTCATGCCGAGTGGGGACCCAATTGCAGGGGCGTCGAGCAGAGAGGAGATAGTGCTTGTTGTCATTTCCTTTTGTTCTGGCTGTGTGCTCCCACTTGTTCATCTGGCGTACCGCCCCGGACCGACGTGTCGGTTACATTTGCGCCTGAGTCGCCAGTCTCCGTTGTGTGCGTGGATGTGGCACGTGGATGTACCTACCTTGTTGCCCCCGTTCTCGGCATGTGCTCTCTGCAATACTGTGTGGTGCGCATTAGAACCGACACATGCCGTCTACTCATACTCATACTGCTGCCTGAAGGCTGGTTGTGCGTGCGTAGACTGTATGTGTGGGTCTGTAGTAGTCAATGAGTGATCGTGTCTTTGTCCGTTCGTCCATCTGTGTGTCTCTGTGTATGAGACCCCAGGCCGAACACAGAGTGGGTCAGATCAACGACACACAATGACCAGGCCAACGACACTCGCCTTGAGTCGGTTCATTGATAGCGAGACGAGACATTGATGCAGGCGAAATAAGATACCCAACAAGTTGTCTTTCCACCACACACGCACCGAGCGGCACCGGTCTGTCCGTGTGTTTTACATGTGTTGCACCAACTACTTGTTCGACACCATACAGATGCGAGAAATGTCATCATCTCTCAGCCTTCACCATAAGTCACTCATCAAGTCTGTGTCCTTGATCATTGTTTGTTGCAGGTTCGGACAGCGAGGTAGCAGACAGACAAGGCGGGTGGCCTGCAGGCAGGTCTGTCCATGTGTATCTTGTGTGGGAAATGTCTCCATGATCGACCCGCGCTCTCACAGAAAGCAGACTCCATCTCATTGAAACAGATGGTGAGTGAGTCTTGGTGGAGTCTGCCGTCCATCCCTCATCCATTCTCACTCTTTCATTTCCTTTATTAGCTATCCTGCTCACCTAGGTCTGGCCACCCATCCTGCAGACCAGAATCCAGGACTTCCAGTCATTGCATGGGTGCTCAAGCAGGCAGCGGCGATGGATGCGGACGAACGACCACACCGATTTCAGCGGAGGTCAGCAAGGCGAACCGCACGTCCATCCAACCGATGTGCGGATGATGTGGGTGGTGTTTGTGTTTGTGTGTGTTTGTCAGATCGAAGAGGATGGCGGCGAGAGAACGGCAGCAGCGCGAACTGGCATTGTGTCTTCCTCCCCCCCCTGGTTTTCATTGTGTCGTATTGCGCGTTATTGACTCACACATGAGGTTTGTCTGATGGATGCAGACGAAAGCTTAACGTGTCTCTGTTTCGCTACATGTCTCTGTTGCCACCAGCGTATACCTTTCTATGCACATGATGCAGACTTGTGTCTGCAGTGACTGGCTCGAGTTGCTGTCTTGTCTGCTTGTGTTTTGTATGTCTAAATTTGGCGGAGCCTGGCGAGCAGGACATTGGTGAGCATTGCCATGTTTTCAAAGGCGTTCGTCTCAAAGCCATCCACATCAAAGGCACATAAAGCTCACCGCTCGAGAGCAGCTGCAGGACCGCGCTCTGGGTACATTCATGTTGTTTGTGTGCAGATTGTTCGTATGGCGTTTGCAGAGGGTGTGAGCAGCGTGCAGAACATCAAGGGCGGCATCATCCTGCAGATCGGTCGTGTGCTCGCCATTCGACACACAGAGGCGCACATACGGGTACGCACACGCACAGCACACAAAAGGCGGGAACCAAGATGGTCTCCAAGCGCATGTTGTGTGTGTCAGGAGATGCAGATGGACACTCGGTGACTTGTTGAGTGTCCATCCGCATCTCCAGCGGGAGCAAGACCCACCACCTGTGTACCAAGAGGTAGAGGATGAAGCCATGGGTGTGTAAGTAGAAGAGCAGCCTAGCGACCAGCCCATGGAGGCATGTGAAGACGAGCCAGCGGCGGCCGCCACATTCTCAGCCGACCTCATCGCATCGTTCGGCATCCTGTACCAGCAGCTGTTCACGGCGATCCTCGAAGGTGGCCACGCCACAGAGATCGGCCGAAAACTCAAAGAGGGGACACTCGAGCCCGGACGTACGCACAAAATGAGAGCAGAGAGGAGCAGCAGACGATTCATCCATCATCATTCCTTCATTTATTCACTCGTGGGTTGGGTTGTGTAGTGATGCATCCACCAGTTGAGAATTTTAAGAGCGAGGCGTGCGACCTCCCGGAGGCCGAGAGGCAGGCAGAGACCGATCGAGCCCAGCTGATGGAGATCACCACCCGCAGTGCAGTCGCAGGGGCAGCGGGCGAGGGGGCTGCATCGGACCAAGAGTCGGCTGAGACGTAGCGCATCGTGAGGCGGTGACGAAATTCTGGAGGTGGGGAGGAATTGAGAAGCATTGTGGGCTTCCGTGTGGTGATGGGTATTTCTCTCCACGGCTCCGTTTGTTTCTTGGGTGTGCCAGATCCATCAGGCGACGATCGATGACTTCAAGCGTCAGGAGCGTCAGTTCGAGGCGTCGCGTGAGCGTGCTGCAGCCCGAGGAGCCGCCAAGCTCATCGGCACCACTCACCTTCCGTCGCCATATCTCCTCAGAGAGAAGATATTCGACGAGGAGGAGCTCGAGAAGCGGAGCAATGGCACGGCTGTCTTCACACACTTCTCATGCGTGCCGTCGGCCACCTGCCGGCAGTGTTGCACACAGACCTTTCCAACCAGCCTCTGGTCCTCCCCGCCCCGTCCAACTCGTCGTCGCTTAAGCGACTGGACAAGGTGGGGTGGGAGGGAAGATGTATGTGAGTCGCGCATCCGTTTCCCTGGCTCTGAGAAGAAGTTCGCGTTCCTCTGCGAGAACCTGATCGGTTCGACGCTCGTCTTCATCATCTACGCGCCTTCGCTCGACCTGAGGGAGGAGGTCATGGCAGCACTGGCCACTCCTGTCGATGGCACCGTCCCTCTCCAGGGGATGGACAAGAGGACAGGGTTCATCGTCATGGACCAACAGCAGTCGGCACGCGAGCAAACTCGCTTGGCATGTGAGGGAGGGGGGGGGCACGCACGCAATCAGACACCCATCCATGCCTTGTGTGGTGGTTCAGCCAAATGCCGCGACGACGGACAGTACCTGGTGTGTGCAGTGTGTGGTGTACGGCCATGGCAGCAAGTTTCCTCCTGAGCAGACACACGACATCACAGACGAACAAGACAATAGTGCGCTGATTGTAGGCAAAGACGGCACAACACAGAGGGAGGGAGGGAGGGAGGGAGGGCGAGACGATTCATTTTCTCCGTGTTTCAGCCTCTGCCCAGCGGTCACATTCTCGCCAAGGAGATCGATGCCGCCCTCAAGAGCAACCTGCTGGCCGTCGATGTGCTGCCGATTCCGAACGACGCGCGCGTCCGAGCTCCTCGACAGAAATCCCTCACCAAACTGCCACAGGTGAGCCGGATGACGACCGAAACGGCCATGGGTTCCTCATTTGGTTGGTTGTTTCGTCCATTTTCAGTCTGAGCAGCGAGGCGAAGACGTCTATTGTTGGGAGATGAGCCAGTTCGACGGAGGCCACGACGACCAGAAGCCGGCTCTTCTGCCGTACCAGCAGACAGCCGACAGCTACACCAAGCAGATCCGGGCCGTGCTGGCCCGCGCCAACCCGAAGCCGCTCGAGTGGCAGATGGCCGAGACAGCGCTGGGCAAGACGAGGGGATGCGTGGTCTACGTCGGCGAAGCAGTCGAGGGCGTCATAGCGCTGGTGCGTCTGAGCAAACACCCTTGGACATTCACGTGTGCATCGTTTTCTCTCCTTGTTCTGTCAGCTCACTGCTGGCTGCAGTCGTGTCTATTGGAGTCACGGCAGCAGGGCTGTTCCTCCTGAGCTACTCGTATGTTCGTCTGCAACGCCGCCTCACCAAACTCATCATACACAGAATCAGGTCAGCAGACAACGTAGCAGATGACCATCTCTTCTCGCCCTATCGTTGCTTCCCTCCGTCTTGCTGTGTGCAGGTGCTGCATTTGCTTAACTTGAAGGAGGATCACCCCGGCAGCCGCCTGGCGCAGGAGGGCGTCGGGGCTCGGCCGCGTCTGGTGTTCCCCGAGAACGTCAAGGACTTCTTCAAGAAACACTACCAGATGACGGAGCCGCCCTCCGAGTCGGTGTTGCTGGGCGGTAGCCTGGAGGAGCTGACCAAACCAACCACGAAAGCCGTCAAGCGGAAACCATGTAGGCGCTGAACAAGGGGGGAGAGAGGGCTGCGGGGTCGGATGACTGTTGTCTGTGTGGGTGGCGTGTGTCAGGTTGTGTCAGGTATCGCATCTCTGGAGCAGTCGGCCGTTCGTGCAAACCAGCACTCCCTCGGCTCAGGGGCGGTCGCGTACCAGGGCTGACGTGCAGTCCATCTTAGCGCCCAAGGCCAAGCAGAAGAGGACAGCCAAGCAGCAGCCAAAGGCGGCAGCACCGAGGGGCGGGGCGAGGGCGAAGGCAGAGGCCGAGGCAGGGGAGGAGGGGGAGGGAGTGAGTGAGAAGGAATTGTTGGCGGCATCGATAGCAGCAGCACAGCCGGCGGCGGCTCATAGTGACGTGTCTGATGAGGACATGATGATGGCAAGCGATCACGACAAGTCGGATGGGTGATAGGAGGAGGCGGGTGTAGATAGTAGTTGATGGCTGACTTCATGATGCATGGACACGCGCGTGACTGACCGCATTCATGTGTTGCGTGAAGGCATCTTCATACGTCGTTCGATGAGTTCGATCACATCGCACAAAAGTTGGGGTCAGTGGTTTCGGGTTTCGGGTTTAGGGTTTAGGGTTGAGGAGGGTTTTAAAAAAGAGCTCGGGCAATTCCGTGAAACCGCTGTCCGGATCCACGGCATTGGACCAATCGGATGGTAGGATATAGACAACCTGCCGGCGATGCAGCGCGCCACCCTCTACTCAATTGCCTCTGCTGCTTGCCGGGTACGATACGCATCAACAAACGCTGCGTGCATGTGTGCTCCATAGTACAGGTCAGATCCCGCTATGTTCCATTACCTTGTCCCCTTCCTCTCACAGGCTGAGTAACTGTATTATGGCCATTTCCAACTGGGAGATCCCCCGCCGACCCATCCCTGATGATCTCTCACAGCTGCACCAGCTGTATGGCGACTCGGCCTTCGGCAAGACGCTCGCCAAGTGGGCCAAGGAGATACCTGACGCGGCTGCCATCACGTGGCTTGACGGTTATGGGGAGCCGGCCGAGGTGTTCACATACGGGGAGCTCTTCAGGAAGGTGCAGCGGCTCGGCGCCTATCTCACCGAGGATCTGGGATTGGAGCTGGGTGACCGGGTGATCCTGTGCTATCCGCCCGGCACCGACTTCATTCTCGCCTTCCTCGCATGCCTTTACACGGGCGTCGTTGCGGTGCCCGTGTATCCCCCCGCCCCCAACACCACCAACATCGATGTGCCGCGCTTCTGCGACATCGCCGAGAACGCTGAGGTGCGCTATTCGCTCACTAACACCGTCTACCAAAAGATAGCCCTGGTCGTGGGCACGCTAAGCAAGGACACCAGGTGGAGATCTATCGAGTGGATACTCACCAGCGACGCATTTAAGAGGACGGCTGCCGACAGGCATGGTGACAAGCACGAGACCGTCTACACCCCCCCGTGCATCGGCCTGAGCGACATCGCGTTGCTGCAGTTCACGTCGGGGTCCACATCGACGCCTAAGGGCGTGATGGTGACGCACGGCTCGCTGCTGCACAACGTCCACTGCTGCATCACGGCCTACGGCTGCGACAGCAAGATCGAGGACCCCACCATCCCCAACATCACAGCGACGGGGCAGCCCTACAGTAGGATGCGCGAGATAATGATGCAGCGTCACGAGATCAGCAAGCGGGTGCGGGGTCACCGCATGCGGTGCTTCTCGTGGCTGCCCGTCTACCACGACATGGGGCTCATCGGATTCCTCTGCACGCCCCTCTTTTTTGGATTTGAAGTTTTCCAGATGTCGCCGCTCGACTTCGTCATGAAGCCGCACCTGTGGCTACAAGGTGCCTACACAAACCCCGAGCCGACCACCGACTGATGCTTATGTGGTGTGTTGGTGTGTGCTTGTATTCTCATGGAATAGGCATGAGTCGATACAAGGCTGGCGCGTGTGCGGCCCCAAATTTCGCCTTCGAGTTGGTGACGCGCAAGATGCCCGACAGCGTGTTTGAGGAGCTGGACCTCAGTCACGTGTCCGGCTTCCTCTGCGGGGCAGAGCCAATCAGAGGGGCCACCATAGATAGATTCGTCAAGGTGCGTACGTGCGCGTGAGTAGGTGTAGGCGGCCAATGATCAGTGAAAGAGAACACGATGGCTGTTTGTTTGGGTCTGTGTTGTTGTCCATTTCAGAAATTCGCGAGTAAGGGTGTGACTCGCAGCAAGGTTGTGCCAGCGTATGGGTTGGCCGAGAACACCCTGTGCGTGTCGGGCCGCAAAGACATTGACAGCGAGCCGTTCATCATCAATGTCAACGCCGAGAAATTGAGAAACCAAGTACAAGAACAAACACATAGCAGACATCCGCTGCACACATCTGCGTGCGTGTGGGCAGGGTGTGGTTGAGTTGGTGGATGAAGCTGACATGGATGGCAGTCATGAGGGCGAGTACCGGCGGCTCGTCGGATGTGGCGTACCCCTCTCTGGAATAGACGGTACACACCACTGACCGACGAGATCGATCACCAGATAGGCATAGTTGTACCGCCTGCTCCGTTCAGTTCGCATTGTTGACCCCGAGGCGATGAAGGAGCTGCCGGAAGGCCAATGTGGTGAGGTGTGGGTCATGTCTGGCAGCACGGCCCGCGGCTATTTCAACCAGCCCGACGAGGCGCAGGAGTCGTTCCACGGGCAGTGCATCTACCTGACAGGCGACAAGTCGGAGCCCTTGTACTTGCGGACAGGTGACATCGGCTTCTTCTACAAGGGAGAGCTCTTCATTGCTGGGCGCATTGAGGACATGATCATCGTCAATGGCCGCAACTACTTCCCGCAGGTCATCGAGGAGGCCGCAGAGAGCTGCGAGTCGGTCCGCAAGGGGTGCGTGGCGGCGTTCTCACTGGAGGTGGATGATCAGGAGCGGCTGGGCCTGGCGGTCGAGATCAAGATGGAGGAGGGGATGTGGGGACGGCTGTCGCAGCTGCGGCAGGCGTTCACCAGCACGGAGTACAAGGGGATCAGCCGCGAGATATACAAGGCCGTCTCGGTCAAGATCGGACTTCCCGTCTTCCACATATGGCTGCTCAGACCAAGAACCATTCCAAAGACAACAGCAGGTACATGTATGTGACATACACACATGCCGACAGACAATGTCACATTCATCTATTGTCACATTCATCAAACAGGCAAGGTTCGTCGCTCCAAGACGCGTGAGCTTCTTCTTGACAACAAGGACCTGGCGGGTCTCATATGGGATGAGGTCGTGGGGGAACCCGATGCGGACAAGAAGGAGGAGTCCGCAGCTGCTCGAGGGAGGCCGCCCACGGGTCCCGTTGCGACACAAAAGGCGGCACGGCACGGCGAGGGGAAGGGCAAGGGCCTTTCAGCCGCACAGAGGAGGGTCCAGTCTGCAGTGATGGCGTCGGCGGGCAAGATATTGGACACCGACGTATGCGACTTCGACACGCCCCTGCACAAGCTGGGTGTCGACTCCATCAGGGCGCTGGAGTTTGCCGAGGACGTGTCAAGGGAGCTGTCAATGACTCTCGAGCCGACGTTCGTCTTCAACCAGCCAACTATGAATGACATCATCGACTTCCTTGTCGGGGAGGTCGAGGGCCAGGCCGCCGAGGAGCCCGCCAAGGAAGCCACACTCGCGAGCGGCATCCGGGCAGACGAGCCGATCGCCATCGCTGGGGCGGCGTGTCGGCTGCCCGGCGGGGTGACAACCCCCGCATCCTTCTGGGAGCTGCTTTGCAGCGGCCATGATGCGATAGTGGAGGTGCCGCTGACCCGCTGGAACATCGACGAGGTCTATGACGCCGACCGTGACATGGATGGCAAGATGTACATCAGAGAGGGAGGCTTCATCGACGATGCAGAGATGTTCGACAACGCCTTCTTCAACATCGGCCCCGCTGAGGTCAACTGCATGGACCCCCAGCAGCGGTTGATGCTTGAAGTGGGCTACGAGGCCTTCCACAGCGCGGGCCTCAGCCGCGAGAAGCTCATTGGCCAGGACATGGCCGTGCTCATCGGGTGCTGCTCCTTTGACTGGTACGACGTATACAACCAGACTGCCCTCAGCGTGAGCAGCTACAGCGCGACCGGAGTCGCCGCATCAATCCTCTCCAACCGCATCTCGTACGTGTTCGGTCTCAAGGGCCCCTCCATGACCATCGACACGGCATGCTCATCTTCATTGGTGGCCATGGACGTGGCGGTCAAGGACATGCGCATGGGGGTGTGCCGCGGTGCCCTGGTGGGAGGCGTCAACCTGATGCTCAATCCACAAGTCACGATGGCGTTCTGCAAGGCACGCATGATGGCGCCAGACGCCAGATGCAAGACGTTTGACGCCAAGGCCAACGGCTACGTGAGGGGCGAGGGTGGGGCTGCCATCATCCTCAAACAACTCTCGGACGCATCACCCGACCTGGTCGGCGTGTTGGCCTGTCTGAGAGGCACAGCTGTCAACCACGGAGGGAAGACAGCCAGCCTGACAGTGCCAAGCGGTCCAGCCCAGCAGCAGGTCATCAGGTCGGCGCTGCACCAGGCCGGCCTCCAGCCATCATCAATCGACTTCGTGGAGTCTCACGGCTCGGGCACCTCACTTGGAGATCCAATCGAGATGGGTGCGATCAAGGCCGTGTTCGCCGGCGGGCGGAACTTGGAGCACCCTCTCCTGCTGGGCGCCCTCAAGACCAACATCGGACATCTGGAGGGAGCCGCGGGCATTGCGGGGGTGCTAAAGGCTGTACTCGTGCTGCAGATGAAGCAGGCGCCCCCCAATCTCCACTTCAACTCACTCAACCCGTACATCGACACCGAGGGCTTCCCAGTGGTCTTCCCCACCGAGCCCGTGCCGCTCGTCTCTGGCCTGCCCGCCAAGGACCGCATGGTCGGCGGCGTCAGCTCCTTCGGGTTCGGCGGGACGAGTGCACATGTCATTCTCGAGGAGGTGCCACTAGGTCTGACTCGCCAGTCCGAGGCTATCATGGAGCTGACCCAGTCAGGTGTCGGCCTCATGGTGGAGAGGTGCCTCGCCAAGCTCAAGGGCACTCACCAGTGGAATCACCGGAGCTTTCCGTGGGTCGAGGCGGCCCATCCTGCGCTCGGTCGCCGGCACACGACCCCGAC